GGCCGCCCCGCCGCCGGCTGCCCTGAGCGGCCCGCGCTGCCCCTGCCCGCGCCCGGGGCAAGGACGGGGCCCTGCCGCCCCCGGCGCGGCCAGTGTGGGTCTGTCACGGCTGGTACTCGCCGTGCGGTGGGGATATTTTCTCTTCCCATCCCCGGTGAGATGACCAGCAAAATGTCACAGTTCCCCTCTGCCCCGAGACCCCACGCCCACAGGAAAAACATTTGTGTCTCATGCAGAGGTTTCTACAGAAAGAGACCCAAATTCTGGCCCACAGAACCAGATCCATCTCTCATATTTTAATGCATCGTTTACTGAGAGAGCTATCTGAGGGCCCCTTCCCGCCCAGAAGAATCCTCTAGCAGAATTTGAATTGTGGAAAAATCTCATTAACCTCCCTTGAGCAAGACACATCAGACAGTTGCACACAGGTGTAAACCTTGGCAGGATTTGTTTCTCATTGAAGTTCTTTATCACACTGATATGGCAAAAGTGTTACCTGCTTGCAAGAGGTCGAGTTATGTTTCCTGTGGGAACCAGGGTTTTCCTCTCTCTTCTAATTTAACCACAAAATTACATATACATAGCTATAAGTATCACAGAAACATACTTTTGAAACAAAGCAAACCTGTTGAGCAGAAAGTGTAAGGATAAATTACCATAACAGTTTAATGGCATACTTCATTTTCACTTTAAGTGTAGATACAAAGAGAGGAAACTCCAGCCTAGACCAGGAAACTTTGTTCTCTATACAGGAACCTATAATTGGGAAAAGGCAAATAATTTCAAATGGATTCTGTGCTGCATCTGCCTGAGTGTATGCACGGGAGTAAGGTCAACTCTAGAGGTGCGGTAGGTTTTGAAAAGTGGATTTCCATAAAGATTTATTATCATTGGCCTGGTTTGCATTACATGGCTTATTTAACTCAGCCTTTTTATGTGTAAGGGAAGCCTTGGTAGGTCAGATCCATTGGTCGTCTGTCCTAGTATCCATCTCTAGATTTAGCCAGTAGTAAGTGTTGAGAGAAGATCACAGGGATACTTTAACAATCCAGTAATACTTCCCTGGCTTACCTTACCAACTCTCTATAGCTCAGGGAGTTCTTTAGCAGCATTTGGTGTCACTGCATTTCATATTTTTTTATTGTGTGTTCCTTCCATTAGATTAGCTGTTTACTTTTTGCATTCAGACATGCTTGTGGTTCTTACAGTGTCCTTTGGCAGGGAGTTCCAAAGCTCAGCTAGCATGTTGTGTGGAGATCACCTTTTGCTAGACTGAACAAAAAAAGCCCTACTTATTCTTGTTTTGGAAGAGACACCAATAATTTCCTACTAATTTTCTTCCTTATGTTTTTTTAGACTTCTGGTGTGTTTTCCCCTTGGTTTTTGCCAGCTAGAAAGTTTTGGTCTTTTTAGTGGTACCATGAATGGAACTCATTCCATGTTTACCTTCATTGAACCGTTTCTGCTCCTAATGCCTTCCTTTTTAAGATGGGTAAATGGATTTCCATGTTCATGCTGGGTTCCCCATACAGCATCATAGTGATGTCCTCATTTCTAATCTGCTCCTGATCTTTCCTTTCTTCACTGTTGTTGAGTATAAATATGACATTCCTGTGGCAAGTGTCTATTATAACTCCAGAATCCCCTTCTGTAATGTTAATACTACCTCAGAGACTGTTGCTGTGTATTTCTGATTGCTGAAAGATTTTCAAGCCCAAACTCTGAACTGTGAGTTTTCCAAACCCAGGATGTAACAACTTCCTTGTGCCTCTGAAAAGTACAGCCCAGGATTTTAGAGATGAGGATCTGAGCCCATATACACATTTCACCATTCATATTTTCACCAACACACATCATTTCACCAGACCCCTGATGTGTCTCCACCACAGTGTCCCCTCTCTGCTTTAAGTTTTTGTTTTATTACAGTGAGTTCAGTTCTTTGGTGTGTTTTAGTATTATATTAAAGACGGCTAAAGTGCTAGCAACAAGATTGTGAATTCTTTAAAAGTAAGGCATCCTCTAACTTTAGGGAAAAAATAGTTTTCATAAAGCAGTAAATGCCACAAGAGAGCTTCCTGCCAGTTCCCAGAGCGAAGCACCACAACGCCTCACCTTCCTTTTTCTTCCTACTCAAGTGGAGGGATGAAAGGCTTGCTTTTTTGAGGAAGAAGTCTCTTCAGCTGCGGCCAAAACCACTCTGTTCACATGTTCATCATGCTCTTCACCAGCTCAGTGTACTTACCCAGTTTGAAAGTTCAAAGGTTCAAAGACCAAACCTAAAACCACTGGAAAGAAGATGAGCAGTCTGTTTTAACTCTTCTTCATAGTGAAACCAGCAGTCCTGAAGTGAGACGGAGTGAGACAGGCATCAAAAAAATGAAGACTAAATGCAGGGAAAGGCATTTTCACCCCTGTGGATCCTCACCCCACAGAGCACACATGGTGTTTCTAATGACAAACTTCAGTACAAGCATCAAAAAATCTGAGTCCACTCCATCCATTGGTGAGCAGAGCAGGAGAAAGCTGGGGCCTGTGTGCTGCTTTCCATTACCCTCAGACACAGTTGCACCCATTCTTGCTTGAAGTGCTCATAGCAGTGAAGGGAACTGAGGAGTTGCAGCTCCCCGAGCAGTTTCAGCATCTCTGAAAGAGGGGTGCTGAACCTCCCTTTCTCTGGTCATTTTTTCCTATTTTCCTCATCTCTTGTGTGGGTATGAGCATTCCTACAGCTGTGTAGTGAGCCAGGACTCATAGCAAAGCTAGCCCACAAAAGGAAAATAACTTCTAATGTTACTATTGATCAGTTCCCTGGGCTGGTTCATCACGTCTCCTTGAGCTGCTGTGTTAACAAAAGGGAAACAGAGAGGTCAGAAACTAAGTGGAGGGCAGGAAGTGTAACCATAGCATTGCCTCTTGGTTGTGGCTGTGGTTTAAGCCAATTTCAACTCTCAATGGACCCATAGAGGTAAAACTAGAGAAACTTCCTTCCTTACTGGAAGAGACACTGTGGGAATGATGGGAACCCAACATTTATGTTGTAGCCACAAAAGAAATTCCTTGCCTTCTATTTTTTTTAAGTTCTTTGAAATTGTCTTTGTTCTATAATTTTCCACTTTTAATATGCCGGAGCCCTAATCACTGACCAGAGATGCAGAGGTCATCAACTGTACTAACTTTTTATGAGCTTAATCATCAACAGTATTCAAGGAGATGAGTAAAGAGACAGGAAGTTCTGAATTTTCATTTTGTTCTACTACTGATTCATCCCATAGCCTTGGGGCATCTCATTTCCTGCTTCCACTCCTGTTCTCTATGTGGAAAATGGGAGTGATTTTGACCTCCTGTATAGTGTGAAGTGTTAGACATGTGTCCTGTCATACTCTGGGGAAATGGTTCTCTCCTTGGATGAAAAAATCCCTGAGGGAGTCTCAAGCTAAGGTGATAAGTAACAGAGGACAGGGTAGTGAGTGGGGCTGAGTGAGGCTTTGCATAGTCCAGCTCTCCTGCTGCGAATGGAGCAGAAAGAGGCTGGGAGACTGTTCTCCTCATGCTATTTATTACAACACATACTGGGAGCAGATCAGTTGCAAAAGGATGCCAGACAATCAGCCTCCCTCCAGCTTAGGCTCCTCTCCTCCTCTGCTGTTTCCACCACCCCTATCTCACACCTCCATATGAGAGCTGCTCTGCGTGATCACTGCTGGCACACCCAGGTTTTCTCATGCTGCATCTTAATAATGTCCTATGGGGTGGACATGTTCCTGCAGCTCTGGTTGCCCAGTTGCACACACACTGCTGCTGGTGACATCCTGCTGCTTCCCGCTCCTCAGGATACTGCACTGCCTCCCACACTGATGGGTTTCCCTTATTCCAGCATGCAGCCAAGACTCAGGACCCAGGGTGGGGGACCCACATGCAGATGATTATGTAGGTAACATAAGTTGCACAGGGCCAAAAAGGAGCACCTTTCCACCAGCTGTACTCTTTGAGACCATCACTGCCCACAACCTGGCTGGCCTCCTCTGTTAGCATTTTGGCGACTGGATTGAAAGGACTCCTGAAACACAGGGGCTGTCTAAAGATAGCAGTCCCGCTAGTGCAGGAAGAGTGGCACAGTGAGTCAGAGCCCTTTCCACAGCTGCTCCGTACCATGCGGGAAGGCACAGTACAGTCAGCACTGTCAGCACTTTGGAGGTGCCCACCTTTCTCCATCCCCTGCCAGGCTCCACATCTGTGCTGTTTTTTCAGCTGTGCTGGTATGGCTTCCCTGTATTGTGGTTTGGTAGCTAGGCTAATCTTAGGAAAAAAGAATACAACATCTTTATTTTTTTTCAAGTTCAGTTTTACCTCCCATTAACACCCTGCTTTAAATGAGTGGTAGGCAATTCTGTGAGAGTGGGAATTTCTCAAGTTGTTATTGCACAGAGATCTAGGTACCATGAAACCATGTCCTGAAAGTAATTTTGGGAAGGGTTACCTCAAATGGCACTGCAGTACAGCCTAAGGGGAAAAGTTAACCTTAGTCCTATTATAATTAATATCACACTTGTGCAGTACTGGAGCACCCATCAGTTCCAAATTAATCCAGATCACAAATGAACATATGAAAATGTTCTTATGAAAATAACATAATACATGTTATGTCATTTGTTTATGCTGGTGGTGATGAAGAAAGATGGTGGTACCTGGTCCATCTAGAGTCATAGGACATGAGAAGCTGATGGCTGAAATGGTATGAAGTTTGCCAGGACAACATGCTTCCAGAGGAATCTATAGACAAATCTAAACCAGCAGAATGAAGTTCAGAAATTTGCATCACCTAGCTGGGGTGTTTTGAATCTGACTCTGAACATGCCCACACAGGATTTGCATCCATGGATCCATATCCTCTGCGAGGAGAGTGCTTCTGCACAGAAGAAAGGGTGATTTCCTGTTGCCACAGTCTTTCACTGACTCTACATCCCTATCTGATCTACCCAGACTGAACTCACAGTACAGTCCAGAATCTTGTACTTCATATCAGACAGTTGTCAGTCCTGCAGCTAGACTTAAACCAGGCAACGATGCAAAAACCTGGCATAAAAAATACTGTTGCATGCTTGAGCTAATTGAGAAGATCCCATGTATATTTTTGTACACTGCCCATGCTCTAGGGTTTTAACAAGCTCGCTCTTTCTGGGTCTGCTATCTGTCACACAAAGCATGCAATTACTGAGTGTGACTGGCTGTCACAGGCTATCTCTGCTTGTAGCTAAGCTGGCTTGTAGCTATCTTCCCATGACCCAAGTGTGACACTTATTTCACCTCTTATACAGGCCCTGAGCCATATCTGTAGTGGCTGTGAGCAAACTCTTTTCCTCCACATCTGAGTCAGAACTCCTCAGGGAGTATTGTCTCTCTTTGCATTTGTCTCGATGTGCTTTATCTCACAAAAGGGCACCTGGGGATGCTCACCCAGAGTTTCTGGGATCTGTCTTCAGGAGAGAGACAACCTGCTTATGCCACATTTGTGTCCCGGAATAAGAAAAGCTGCTTTGCCAACATGATGGTGGCTGTGGCTATGCAGGCATTTACAGGCAGTGCTTGTGCAAGGATCTCCCAGGCCCTCCCCACAAAGCACATGGGCACGTATTCTATGCTTTTCCTGCTGCTCTTTGGCTCCTGTGACTGCGTCATCCTTACAAGAGATGTGATGAAACAGATAATTATTGGAAATAACACCTGTTTTCAGATTTTATTTTGTTTTATCCAGCTCTGATGTGTCCACAGTGTGGTGAAAGCAGAAAGGCAGTGAGTGTTGAGGTAGTTGTGTTGTTCTTTCAGAGCCCTTCAGCTTATATAAACAGAGTTCAAGTTGAGTCTGCAAGCCTGCCAGGCTCGTGAGCAGATCAGTGGGGATCACTTTTCAAGAACTTGGGCCTCATATTGACATCACCCTGAACATAGTCTTGATGTGCCATATAATGAGTCAGAAATGCCATGACGACGTGATACAAATCACTGAACTTTTATGAACTTATTCTGTCAATTCAAATGTGTTCAAAAAATTCTGAGGGAGTCATTTTGTCACAGAACATCTAACGGAGAAGATACTGAAGTCAGCTTAAACTTGATAAAAAAGACATAAAGCTAGCAACAGAAATATTTCTTGGGCTAAATGAGTGGAAAAATCATGTTATGTGTCGGCATTTGATGCAGAGCAAGCTGATCCAAAAAGTTTACATATCTGGTAATAGCCAACCTTTAACATGGCCTGAGCTGGTGCAGAAGTCATTGTGTCCCCAGAATGAAGCTAATGCGCTCCCACGAACAGTGGGCTTCTGCAAGAAATCTGTGAGAGCATAAATTCCTGCAGTGCCCCTGGTCTGAGTACAGCCGTCTTTAATTCCGAAAATGTATCCCCATGTTGAACTTCATGCATTGTGCAAGTTCCCTGTGAATTCATATACCTTTGAGAATTGTGACTTAGTGAGGTAAATTATAGAAGTTGAAATTAAAGTCTAGAGCATGTATTTTAAACATTAAAGCTACTGTAGTCTGCCCTTTGAAAACTTTCTTCTTCAGTTTCCAAGTTACTTTTATTTAAACGTTGAAGGGATTTTAATTTTGTGTTATATTTTACAATGAGTAGAGTTGTGTTTGGAAAGTAACTTTAAAATTAAGAGTGAATTAGCACGAAAATGCAAAAGAAAGGGGGGAAAAAAGCTTAGGTGAGAATTAACTATCCTTTCAAATGAAAAAGTAAAGCCCTGGTGCTTTTAGAGGAAATTTAGAACCACATAAGAATTTCCACAATTAATACGCAGGCTTAATTGGTTTAAGTTTCCCTTTCATTTTATACAGCATGAGGTCCACAGAGGCCATAATTTCAGGAAACTCTGGCTTTGTAAGTGAAGCTAACTTAAAATGTTCCCTCTACTCCCTTCCCTGGTGCCCTGTACCTGGCTTCACACCTCTCCATGGGCAACTGCTACTGCCAGAACAAGGATTTGCCGGACTAAGCCTACATCGTCTGAAAAATAACACTCCCCAGAAAGAGTGAATCAGTTCTGATGCCTGGCAGTGACATCACCCAGAAGACCATGACAGCAAAGAGGCACAAGTGAAATGGTGAAATGGCATTGGCAATTTCCCAAGCTACCTCCAACAAGAAAGCCAAGATCTCCTGAGGCTGCTGCTGACAGGTCAATAGAAATACCAAAGACAGTTCCAAGGGAAGGGACAAAGCCTCTAGGCTGATATCACCTTAGAGGGTATAATTTGAAAAAAAAAAAAGACATCCGCTGGTCATAATCAATGGCTGAAATGGAAAGGGCTGCTGATTGACACAAGATAATCCTCCAGGTGTTTTTTTTTAACAAAATGTTGTCATCAAAATACAGTAAAATGTTGAATGTTATGGGGCATTGCTGGGTTTTCACAGAAGGCAAAGTAATTTACTTGCAGTTTGGCTTTCAGAGGCTTTTTCTGTCTATTTCTCGATCTTGCTAATTTAACAGGGGGCTCTTCTGTATGATACATTTACCCTCTGTGATCTGGTTTTAAGTAAGCCAAATATCAGGGCTGCTGTGACACAGCAGATTGGTAAAGTTCCTTGGTGTAACTGTTAGTGAAGAACTTCTGATCAATGTGATAACTTTTGAAATGTGGACATTTTAATGGTCTTCTGGTCATAACAGAAACACTGAATACAGAGGGTCTACAGAGAGCTGTTATGTCCAGATAAAACATGTGGGCTTCACCTGTCCATTTGAAAAAGTGAGCACCTCCAGGGTGAACGTTCAGGTTCTTCTCATCATGAAACAATGAAGTGGCACAGAGGAATGGTATCTTAGCAGTCATGGTTAGTTTGGAGGCTCAAGCCTGTGCTGGAGACATCTCAGGCTGGTGTGATGAATCCCTTCTAGCCAGGCAATGTTGTTTCATGCAATGCCAGTTTTTAAGATTTTCAATGCAGTTGTGCATGCTTTGGAACGTATTTGCCCATTTAAGTAGCAAAGTGAAGTCAGGGGGACAGATATTTAACTGCTGTAAATTAGGGTAGCTCTTCTGAAACTGCCTGGAAGCTCTGATGACCAACTTCTCCCATTTCAGACTGCTGTTTTTACTATACACAGTAATCATGAGAAACAAGGGTGTTGTTAGGCAGTGGCAAGTAGGTGATCTGGCCTTCGCTCAATTAGCCAAGAAATGGAAAAAGCAGGAAAATTTATACAAAGCAAAGAAAAACAACACACAATTTCCCAACAGTACTTTGAAAACTTTTTCTGCTGCTTTGATCATTGCTGTTCCCTCCTCTCACAAGACCATCCTGGAGCCGTTATTTGAACGGAGAAATACACAGGAGAAATGAGGAAATGAAGGCATACACCACAGGAGGAAGTCCCAGTTCAGAAGACAGCTCAAGTACTGAAGGTGGTAGGGCAGCATGCAAATGTGCACTTCTGAATAAGGGCGTTCCCCCAGATCAGATCCTAAGTACTTGCCAAGAAGCTTTTCAGAGTTCCCCAGAACACTGCCAGATGTACTCAAACCCTGCCTGCAGCTCCCTGCCTGATCAAGTCCTTGATTTCCTCCAGGAAATAAAAGCTGTCTGTACACTGTTGGGATCTGAAGGTCAGCTCACTGAGGATGAATGTAAGTTCACCAAAATAGTTTTCTCTTGCACATGAATTTTGGACAAGACTGGGGATGAAAACCTCTGGAGCTGGACTGTTCTTGACCTACATGGAATCACACCACTGCAAGAAGAGGTGGAGATTATGCATCTCCACCGAGATGGACACCCTTGCAGCAGAGAAAAAAAATTCTGGAGCTGGACTATTCTTGACCTACATGGAATCACACCACTGCAAGAAGAGGTGGAGATCATGCAGTCTCCACCGAGATGGACACCTTTGCAGCAGAGAAAAAAAGGTCCTGTCTTGCTGTTCACTGGGCTCAGCTGGAAGAAAAAATGTATTTTCATACTATTGAAAAGGCGATACAAAATGAGGGAAGTTAATGAGTTTCAAATAAGGGCCACTGACCTTAGCACCCCATATTTCAAGCATTTTGTTATAGTTAGTCGCTTTCCTCTCATCACCAAAGTAACATAAGACAGAAACACTTTATGATTTTTTTGATGATGAAATTTTACACTGTCAAGGTGTAAAATTCTATTTAAATATCAACCTTTTCCCTGCATCCTACAGTTTCCACCATGTTTGCATACTACATTTTACAGGACAGCAGCTAATATCTACACTTTATAACACTTAAATCTTATATAGTAGTCTAACATCTCTAAGCACTTCAGAAAAAAAACCCTACATTATTGTCTTCATCACAGTTCTGAGAAATTTGAAGTCACAAGTTCATTTCTACCAGGAGTTAATTTGGGATTTGAAGTACCTAATTTGAGATTAGCTATTTTCTATACCAGGAGTTAATTTGGGATTTGAAGTACCTAATTTGAGATTAACTATATTCACACTTTCCATGTTATTTTTCTCGGCAGTTGACTTTATTTACTCTTTCTCAATCCTTTGTTTTTCTACAATGTTAACATTCCAAAATGATGCAGCTATCTCGAAGTTGTGGCTTCCCTTGAAAAAATCCTGGGGCTATGCATCTTGCCCAAAGATCACTTGCCTGATGAAATCTGGAGCTATACTGCTTTTTCCCCAGAGCCCTTGGTGCAACATTGGGGTCAAGCTCCTAGACTGGCTGTCTGAGGCAC